GATTCCATGAAAGTGCACAGTCTTGTACTGTACAGCCTCCATATTGTTTATATTGTACTGTACCATAATGTACTGTTTATAACTGTTCAGTTATAAAGTATTCAAATATTTATTATAACCACACCCAACTACCGTAGGTATACCCATTTCATCGATACAGTTTTTTTTTTTTATATTATAGTGCTCTACGTCCGGCTCCTTTAATAAGGGCACTACTATGGGCACTTAGCACTTTGGAGAAGGAAGGGAAGAGGGATGGGAGGCCTCCATTACAGGAGGGGGGTAGGGGGAATTAGACAATTATGCTACGAGAAGGTCGCCTAAACCCTCCTCGAGGAGCATTGCGTGGTGAAAAAGCACATGTGAAAAATCACAGAGGTACTTGCCCGTAAAGTCGCACTGGCCAGGAATTGAACCGCGGTCTCCCGCGTCCCAATCCACGACCTAGCCGACTGAGCCACCGCGTGCTCTAGACATAATAGATAAAGCTCTCTGTTAAATTTCAGCGGAATTCGACAAAAACTGCATGAGTTAGTCAAAAACACTTGACTACGCCCATACATACATATATACATGCATCCCTGACTCCGAGATCTGCAATTGCAATTTTTTTTACCAAAATTTTTTTACGCAAAAACAACAAGTATAAGGGGTACTCACACTTTTTACTCTTGCAAAACTATAAGGCACTCCTGAGTATTGGTTGTGCTAAAAAATTATATAATTATATAAAAAATTATATAAAAACTACTATAAAAAATGGTACAGTACGTCACTAGGGCACAAAGTACAAACATGAGCGCCTGAAGGGCGCGCTTGTTGTAGGTTGGTGCCCGAGTCGCGTACAATGTTTTTCTTACCGAGGGCGCAAAGTTCAATTTTGCTCCCGTGGGCACACTTTGCGCCCAGTAAATCACTTTGGGCCCTAGGGCAGAAAAGTACTTTGGGCCGGTGGGTGCAAAAAACTTTTCTGCCCGTGGGCCCATGGTAAAAAAAAAAGTTTAATATTGTATTTATTATAATAATATGTAATTACAATGATGGCATAATGCAACATGTATTAGGTCATTCTACACATCATGGCATTCGCTCAAATATTGGATGGCACGAAATCATTTCATGTTCAAGTAAGAAATAGTAAAATTAGTGTAAAGACTGTTCGTTCCTTATTTTCTGATGAAGTATCTGGTCTTACGTACACCTTGAATGATAATGTTTGTGGCGTGAATCTGTCGAATGAAAACGTAAAAAATGTAAAAGGTAAAAGTTTATGGTTCATATGCAGATAGGTAAATCTAAGTCTGAAATCCAAAAGGAAAGCATAAGGAAAATTATAAGGAAACATACAAGTAAGAAAAATGATTGTATCGATGCAAAGAAAAAATTAAAACTTTGTCCAGCAAAAGATGAGATAATAGTAGTTTTCCTACGAGTTTGAAAAGTCTCTGTTTGCGAACCAAGAGATTTGCGGCCCGAGCCGAAGGCGAGGTCCGTAACGAGGTTCGTAAAGTAGACTTTTCAAACGAGTATCGGAAAACTGCTTTTTTGCCCGAGGAAGTACCAGCCTCCCAAAACCACCCGAGGGCGGAAAAAGATATTATTATTGGATGGAAACATAAAATAAACAAATAAAAAGGTTTCTAACTTGTAACAGCCCCTTTTGGTGGATCACAAAATTTAAAATTACTCTTAAATCAAGAATATAGTTATGATGATATTCTTAATATGTGCATTGAAACATAGAAGTATGGGAAATCATCAGGCTCTAAGCGAATGTAAAACAGAGTTGGTAAATTACCAAGGAGAAGTTTTTGACAGTTTTATGGATGATGAAGAAAATACCTGTGATTTTTGGATGTTCAGTCAAAACTTTAAAAAAATTAATGGCCAGATTCGGCTGTATTTATTAAGTACTGATGAAAAAATGTGTAAATAGTGCTGAAACAACCACGCCTGTTAGTGTTGTGATGGAACAAAAAAAAAACCCAAAAAATTACTGACAAGCTACACAAAATGTTGTTTGATACAAGTAATAAACCAGAAATCGATGATTCCATGGATAAGAAACAGCAACCGTCAACTAATATAGTACAAACCAGCTCTCAACCAGAAAATTTTCTTAAGTTTCAAAAGCCTCGCAACAATACAAAGAATGAAATACCAGTTGACAAGAATCCAAAACTCACTTTCGAGCCACGCCCATCACTGCATCAATTAAATCTAAATATTACCATCATAAAAAAGGAAGACATAGTATTTTCAAATACTCTCATCGGGGAAGGTGGATATGGTCGTGTCTGTAAAGGTAATATATACGCAGTGGCAATGGATTCTACCCACTGTTATTTAGTGTTACAATACTTTGAAAGCTGTGATTTAAGAAGAATAATTTTTGTTGAAAGAAGTCGAAAGATTCATAACTTGAATATTAATAATAAATTCTTCATCTTAAAACAAATGTGTGCAGCTATAGTATATATGCATCACCCGTTAGTTAATGTTATTCACGAAGATATTAAACCAGCAAATGTTCTTGTAAATATAAATCTGAAAGTAAATCTGCGATCTAGGATTAAGCAAAACAGGCGGTATGCCTTCAGTACTGAAGACCACAGCGGGAAACACTGATAGAGGTACGCCCATGTACATGGCCCCCGAATTACTTTTAAAAAAGGAGCGACCATCTACAAATTCAGATATTTGGTCAGTAGTTTGTGTCATAAAAGAATTGATGACTAAAGAGCAGGTGTGGCCATCACAATGCTATCAAGATGATATAAAGGATCTGTACCTTCGTCAGTCAGTTTCCAACATGGACGGAGTCGATAAAAATTTAAGACTGCTTTAACTACACAGCTGTAAATAGGCCACCAGCTGAAAAACTTTTCAAATTCTTTGATGAGGGGAAAAGTACATCAAATTCCTCTGATGAAAATGATGATGATACTGCTGCTGCTTGATATTCAATGAATGACCAACTATTCTCAAATTTCAAGATCTGAAGTTTTTAACTTTGAAGATGTTTTATTAAATTTTTTTATTATACTGCTTTACGTCCGGCTCTCTTGTAGAGAGCATTACGTACGGCACTTACCTATTTGGAATTGGGATGGGATTGGAAGGAGGGAGGGCTCTAACAACTGTTCCACATTCACCCATGACAATTTTCATGTGGAACAGGAAAACCCCGGAAAATCTCCCGTAGAAAAACCCTGATCCAGAATAGCCCGGTGTATCTTCCTCATTACTGACCTGATGTCTAAGCTGCAGACTTAGACATGGGGGAGAAATTTGGCACACCTCCCGCTCACGATGTCGAAGAGACAGAACAGTCAATCAACCCAAGAAGCGAACAGCAGAGGTGAAACAGCGAGACTTGAACGGTAACCCCCCATTTAAGTACTAACCACGCCAAATACTGCTTGACCTCGGTGATCGACGAGACTACAACTCTATTGCTGAGCCATCGTGTCGGTATATATACATTATAGTGCTTTTACATCCGGGTCCTATAAAGGGCACTTACACTTACCACTTGGGAGAGGGATGGATCAAGAGGGATGGGTACAGAAGCCTGTACGGCTCCCACGATAACACAGAGTGTGTGTGTGTGTGTGTGTATCAACGTACCTTATGTGACACATGGAAAGAGTGGCAACGTGCAGCGGGTGAGTAAAAAGATATTTAACAAAAAAGTTTTTGTTATTTTTAATGGAATATTGAGTAAGGATGACCTTTAAATTGCATGTGCATAACAAACTCAACTATTATTGTGAGTATACATACAGCTTTGTCTTTTATTATACATAACTGCATCGAAAAGTACAAAAAAAAAACATATAGTTGATGTCATTATTAAAATTACTATGCTACTTAGTAAAACCAAATGGTATTAAAATTTGCTATTTGACATAATAATTTTTACTTTGCTCAGGAAGAATTTTTATTCTAAAGTAAAAGAAGAAAAAGATATATATGCATACATACTGCCCAGGGAATATATATGTATATATTAAACAGAAGATTTACATATATACCTGGAGCGCGTGGTAGCTCAGTTGGCTAGGTCGTGGATTGGCACGTGGGAGACCGTGATTCGATTCTCGGTAAGTGCGACTTTTTCGGGCAAGTACTTCTGTGATTTTTCACATGTGCTTTTTCACCACGTAATGCTCCTCAAGGAGGGCTTAGGCGGCCTTCTCGCAGAAAAATTGCCTAATTTCCCTCTACCTCCTCCCACTAATGGAAGGCCTCCAATCTACGGAAGCATGTACGGGTCACACGATAATACAGTGTGCGTGTAGATCAACGTACCTCATGTTACACGTGGAAGGAGTGTCAACGTGCAGCGGGTGAGTAAAAAAATATTTTTCCGTCCTCGGGTGGTTTTGGGAGGCTGTTACTTCCTCGGGCGAAAAAGCAGTTTTCCGGAACTCGTTCGAAAAGTCTCCTTTACGAACCTCGTTACGTCCCTCGCCTTCGGCTCGGGCCGCAAACGTCTCGGTTCGCAAACAGAGACTTTTCAAACTCGTAGGAAAACTACTATTTTATTCATTTTACAAGCACTTTTTGGTTTATAAAACGTATTAGTTGCATCCTAGATCAAAATGTTTTATACCAAAAAGTTATATTTCAATGAAATCTACAACTTTTATATTCAATTTGAAAATCTTAAGTATAAAAAAAAAAAAGTTAAATAGGGAAAAACTACATTTTTGCAATTTTTGAGCACTTTTAGACTCACAGAACGTTTGGAGTACATCCTGGACGATATTACAGATCTCAGCTAGCTTTGTTAGCAAATTTTAAGCACGAAAAAATTTTATTTTAATTATATCTACAACTTTGTATACAAAGATCTCCGACAGCAAACGTTAAAAATATCACGTAACAAAGTTGTAGCCGAAAAACTGAATTTTTTTTAGTAAAAGCACTACCTTAAATGACTGCCTTTTTTTCTAAATTAGGAAACCTTGCTAATTTCAAACCATCACATCAGACATAATAGATTTTTTTTTTTTTTATATTATAGTGCTCTACGTCCGGCTCCTTTAATAAGGGCACTACTATAACTGCTTTTTCGCCCGAGAAAGTACCAGCCTCCCAAAACCACCCGAGGGCGGAAAAAATTTTTTGCAATACGATGCCCCAAAAAAACTTATAAGCGAAATTCGAAGAAAAATTCCGATCAGTTTTGACTACTTGTTTAAAATTTAAAAAAACGGCACAATTATGCCCTAAAACTATTTTTCCATGTATTCCAATTATACTACGGTGCAATTCCAACAGTTTTCGTTGAAGTCGCAAATAGCTTTTTGTCGACCATTTGCTAAGGCTTTATCTACCTACCTATTGATAAGACCATCAAATATTGACAAAGAAATTTTCCTGCACTGGACTTGGACATTCGAGCTTCTGCATTCAAATTTTGACATTCTATTATGAATTCAACGAAACTTTTCAATTAAGGTAGAAAGATTTAATGTACAAAATAACTTGGATAAACAATACGAAATTTTTTCCATCCTTCAGTGTATTAAAACATCTTTAATTTTAAAGCCTCTTAATGACAAAATTTGACCTAAAATTTCAAAGAAAATATTTACTTACTTATTTCCAAACTATATTATGGCTTGGAAGTAGATAATTTGCAAAAGATCTTTTATTTCTTTTGACCAAATACATATTAAGCGCTCACTGATCTGGTTAATTATACATTTTAGTGCAGACGCTTATTGGCTTATTTATCTGAGTAACCTTACAAACAAGGCGAATAATTTTGTTGATAAAAAGTATAATCACGCTACGAGAGAAAAACGAGTGTAATATACCAACGACCTTATTCTTATACTCGTGAATAACTTCTTGAATGCATTAATACAGTGTAAAAATGCACGTGAACGCAAGCATGATAAATACCTACCTGTCTCCATCCATCCCTTTTTAATCTGTATCTTGAAAAACCTCGAAGAGAAAAAGCTTGACGAACCGAGAGCTTACGGTAACGTCGCATACGTGTGCTTCTAAATTTAGGATTTCCACAAGGTCTACCAGGAGACGTCTGCTCATAGCTGCCGATGTTATGTTGTAGCATGCTGTAGATCCAAGAGCCCCCCTGATGTACGGTATAGCAATTGAACGGCACTGTGCTTTCGAGTAATGAAATACGAGGAGCAAAGATCCAAAGAGCCATGAGAAGAAGAGAGAGAGAGAGAGAGAGAGAGAAGAGCTTGTCCGCGTTTAAAAGCCCGTTGTAGTAGTCATCGTCATCTTGGCTATAGTGGGGAACGTTTTCTTTCTTCTCGACTTTCTTCTTGTCTCTTTCTTTTACTCTAAAACCTCGAATTTGTCCACGTTCCATTCAGAGAAAGAAAATGCGGTACGTTGCTTTGAGGGACTTGCGAAGAAAGTGAGAAATAAGCTAACGCATACCTATGATTCTCTTTCTTTTTTTACCTCTGCCTTTCTACGTCCCTCACAATCTAGATCGGAAGAGC